AACCGCAGCCCGCACGTTATGCAGACTACTTCCAAGCATAACACGCGCGGTTCTTGTTTTAAGTATGCTATGCACATACACAGCAGTATTCAAGATTTCAAACTCGGTGCTCGCAAAAAAATTTTCTATATTGTTTCCTTCCTCTTTTCCACCGAGGAATACACGATGTAGAAGCATTCCATGACTATGACGCCAAAACGCACAACGGCAAACACAGCACACACATGACAAAAGCTAGTTGAATCAAGGCTTACTTGTTAATTTCCACACGCAGAATACGCGATGTTAAAGAGATGTCACTTTTTCCTTCTGTTGCTACGTAGTGTTCAAACTCCTTTACTTTCTTCTTAGATGGATTTTTATTGTCGTAGAACCACTGTGAAATAAAACCGAAATCTTCATAAATTAATGGAGATGCTCCAAAGCGCTGGTATAAGATATTTGCACCATCAAAATACATATTTTTCATAAACGTTTATTAGGTAGTATCTACGCATAAAAAAACAACTTAAAATTACTATCCTCGATTTAAACATGTTAATTGCCTCAAACGTTTTGCCAAGTTAAATTAAACTTGTAATAATGTACCAGCTGAAATTGAAAACACAGGCCTGAGCAAGAACARAACAGCTATTATATGACTACAAACTTCAAAATGAGTTTATTTATAATGGAATCATGTAAATTCTGCTACAGTACACAGACTTCTCAGGCATGAACAGTTCAGGTGGAAGCAAAATGGCTAGAAGCTTCAAAACAAAATTCCTGACGCTTTAAACTTTAAATCTTCACATAAATACGATGCATGAGATCTATCCTCCACACTACAGCTAGCACGCATCCGTATTATTACCCAATTTTTATTTTTCGGTCCAAACAAGAAGTTTCCCAAACTGTATGCAACCAGGCTGTGTTGTTTAAGACTGTGACCTTCAAGGACATGGGGATGACTTCCAATGATAGCATGGACACCAAGGGACTTTAGATGTGCTTCTTGATGTCGTTGTAGTTCGGTTGGCTCGGTTAGGTACTGAACACCCCARTGCATGAAGACAACTATGACATCCACTTTTGACTGTGAGATTAATATGTTTTTTCTTAGATTTTTAGGAAGATTCAGCAATCAAACTTATTTCAAACTTATACAGGGACCGCGGAGAGCAAGTGAGAAACGGRTCCTACAGTCCAACCAATAATTTTTCGAAATYAAATAAATCTTATTTGACCCCCATATTACAATGTTGTTTTTGTCAGTATCAATTAATATTTTCATTTTCGAAGAGTAAATACATAAAATATGTCCAGCTTTCAGACCGATAATTTATTTTCAAGCGCAGMAGCATGTAATTAATATCTTATTAACCGAGCACGAGGGCCGTACGGGAAAGTATGGCCCGCTTTTAGCCAATGAAATCGTGTGTTACATCCGAGCTATATAATATGTTGACATACCTTAAGATCCTTTACATCTCGTGTTACAGCTTCCTTTTCATAAATAGCTGGACCAGCGTCCAGACCTCTTCGTTTCTCGATGCAGTTACAGATAATTCCTCGTTTTGGTTTTTCCACAAATGATTTACAGTATCCAAGAAATCCAATCTTTATACCATTAATCTTAAACCTTACTGGAGTCTGGAAAAAATTACTATTCAGGACTCCGAGATTTTAAAATTTGTTAAAACAAAATAGACTGTGAGAACTTTATTATTATTCTACTAAAATATTGAGAGAACATTCTCCACCCTTTACTATGAAGATAGASGTCAATGTTTTTTAGGGTGTTGTACTGTTTTCGAGAAAAACTGTTTTGGAAGAAACCTAAGATAAGATTGGACATGCCCTGAAATCAGGAAGTACAGTCGATCGAAGCAAAAGAGAAGTTTACTTTGAGATCTGTAAAAAGCATCTTGGATTGAGACCACTGCTCAATGAATCAGAGATGACAGAAATGCATGAATTGAATCACACCATTTTTWAGGTACCAAGGATGCAATTCTAAACTGATTTTTTTATCCCTTGATTTTCTCGTTTCTGCTGTTGTTGTTGTGGTTTATTTTAATGAAGGGAATCCCTTGTAAAGCCATACTGCTCGCGACCCTCACTTGTTCTCATCTCATTTGTTTCAAGGTAGATCTTAACCGAGAATTCCACGCACCTTCAAAGTGAAATTGGGATACTGAACATCAAGAAAGAGACCYTCTTAGAAAAGTATGAAGACACTTACTTGTGGTTTTTCGTTCTCAAGACTGCCATAACTATAGCCAAATGGCAGAATTCCATTATTCTTCAATATCTCTACTGTGAAATTGACTGGCTTTGTTTTGTAGTCGTTAAGGTGATTGTTTGCCAATGTYAAAAGGTCAAAMCCTGCGAACCTGAGCAAAATATAATGAGCACAATACACAGGGGTGGATGCAGGGAAGKTGTAAGTTCGAGATTCAAGGAATAAGAGAAAAGGACAGAGACATGGCGATTTTTTGGAGGACAATCGAAAGGATTTTTATTGAATTACACAATTTTAGCTCTTGAACTATTCTCGTGTTCTCCCAACAATCCCGGTGTGTTACTGATTGACTAGAAAACCGAAAATATCCTATGGTGCTTAATCTGTACAGTCAGTGCAATAATTCCAAAACGATCAGTTAGAATTAACTTCACGAGAGATTCAAAGACTAAGAAGTGCATGCTGTCGCATTCACTTTTTAAGCAGTAAAATTTTTTAACTCTACCACACCCTAAATAGTACATTCAGAAATATATATTTTTAAATTACAGAGAGGAATAGGCTGTAGGAATTTTCCCAGGAAACTCTTCACGACCTTTTCAGGAAGGAAAATCAMGAATATCTCTTAGYGATACTCACAAGTGCGTAACAAGAGTTTTTTTAATCTTGTTCTAAGTCACTTTCACAGGAGAAAAATCGTATAAGAACAGTTATTTAGAAGAACAGACCTGGTCGGCTMCTCCTGTCATCTTTTAATGCTGTGCTGTTAACTTACTTACTTCAAAGCTTCAACGGTCTTAGGTTCAGCGCTCAGTAATGGAACAAAGTCATTGAGAGCATCTTTCCTCATATCTTCTCGAATGAACGAGTTTTCAAGGTTCCCTATCACAAGGTCTGCTTGCTTCAACACAGCTGCTACATTTGCAAAGGAATCGTTGTACGAGCAATGTTCGTGTCTGTGGTAGTAGCTTGGAGCACCGTCAAAACTTATGTCTCCCACAAAATGCAATATTACATTTCCACCTGTGCGGAAATTTATTCAAATGTTAGAAACATRCTCCCCTAGGAGAGAGCATGTGTAGGCGAGAGAAAAATTCAACACAACAAGAATTCCATACTTAAACAACGCAGTTGTAATAGAGTCCTGTCATTGTATCTATCATTTGTAGTTCACTTTGTGTTCAGTTGAATCAATTTTTCCATTTTCAAATGCTGTTTCTAATTTTGATGATARCCCTGGGGATAAATAATGAAGCTCCCTTGACGATGAAGTTCAATTTATAATTTGCTACAAAACTCCTAAATAGTCCATTTTACTAGGCAAAGAAAAAAAATGTTGCATCTCAATCCAATGTAGTTTATTATTTTACTTGTCTTAACTAAAAATCCTTCACTATAGAGTAGAGACTGAGGAAGACATTCCACCAAAAACCACAGCGGTGTGCATGACCACCTTGATAACTGCAAGCACCCTCAATTTATAAAAAAAATATTAGCTTTGCACCTRGTATGGGCAGGGACACCGCAACAGCGTGAGCCAATTACTGCGGACACTGTACTCTCACACTCACTACCTCTACATTAAGTATTTTGCACACARCACTCCTCACATGTTGATTTTTGCTGAGGGAGGAAAACCGGAGGACCCAGAGAAAAACCCTCGTGGCAAGGGAGAGAACAACACATCAAACAAACTCAAACTCACATATGGTCCGTGTCCGTGTCCGGGAATCGAACCCGCACCACAGCAGTGAGAGGCCAGTAGCTTAACCACTAGGCCACCCATGCCACCCAAATCTATTTGATTAAACACCTGACTTATTCAGAAATAAGAAAAATCCTCATAGGCCGCAACAAATACGTCAGCATTCTCTTTGACCATTATTCAGAAATGCCCTGTCCAAAATAATCGATTCCGACCATAACTGGAACTATTTTTGTTTTAAGAGAAACATTTTAAAGATATTCCCAGTAAATTAGGATGATGAATGGCATGGTCATAGCTGCCAGCTATTTTAACGATGCTTGATTTCCGTTCACACAAATAGAAGACAATTACCAAAACTAAACACGAATGTGGTACGTGTTTACACAAAAATATCATCGACGACAACGCTGCCACACAATTGCACTAGCAATACCAATTAATACCTGATAAGTCGATTAACATCAACAGCAAAACAAGCTGAGTGTACTCCATGGATTATAACAGCACTATTCCATGTAGTAAAGTGTATAGCAGTTTGTCTATGATCAATTGATAATGAACTCCATATCATTGCCCGAATTGAAGGAATTTTCTTGACTTAACAAACATTAATGTACTGATTTTAAGCCTGGTCCTCAGCGTTATGTCAATTCACCCCTCTCTTGGTGATCACCAGCACTGGTTTATGTCATAAATACCTGCTCCTTTTTGTTCTTCAATTTTAACAAAATATCATCAGACGACCACAATGGAATKAACGTGTTTGATTATTGCCGARGAAACCCTGGATGGAGAAATAATAACTATCGAAGAAATCAGCGAATAAAACGTTATATTTTCATTAAGGAAAAGAAACCAATGTTAGGTGCTGTGGAATGGAATGTTTTCTCACTTTACTTAATTGTCGAAATAGTAGTACAAGCAAGTAATAAAAGAGCATTAATTTTCGTCTAGTGTTTTCAACTTGCATTTAAAAAGGAGTTTCTATTTCTAAAGTGTCAACCTGTTTAGTTATTCTTTTTAATAACAGTTATTTTGTGGATTAAGATTATGAATCTACAGTGGTAAGAAAGGAAAGGAACCTTAACCACAATGAGAAAATACCTGCACAGCGTCTCTCCAAGTTTATCGTTTGTGTCTTTTGGACTTATTATATCCAATTTTAGTGAAGATGCAAAAGCTTTTGAGTAACACTTAAAGCAGAAATCCAGTGCTGACCACAACTATGGAAATTATTTTCATATTAAATTCCCACGCAGACACGTACAGTAAGATCTCTCGTCCTCCTTCCAAATATGGATGTATATATACAGGTCACTGATGTACGTAGTTATGAAATTGGTGGTAAGTTTAATTCAATATCTTCTAGTCTAATAAAGAATGCTAGCAAATACACAAAGTAATAAAAGTTAGATTTTTGT